TATTCTAGTGTGGTGTCATTTATTGAATCATTAGGAAATTCATCGCAGATTTTTGCACAGAAAAATATAAAAAAAAATTCATCATGACTTTCCCAACAACCCAATACCAGTCACTGAAAACTACATACACTATGTCGCCACACACACACACCAGACGTCTGCTTCTATGCTGCTCTACCAATTCACTTAACGACCTAGTCATTGGCAGTGGGAGTGGAACTCAGTCCCTCGGTGTGCAGTGCCTGTATATGTAGAACGAGAGCTGATCAAATGCAGCGGAATGAACAGTATTGAGGTTGATGAGGAGGGAGCAGTTGTGCTCCAGGAATAGAAATGAGAAGTGTGACCATGTATATCAGAGAATGCTGAGAGCTCACGGAAGAAAATATAAAAATGAAGTAATTTAGCTCATAATGTCAAACACCTTTTTTTGGTCTATGGCTGTCTCTACCAGAATCCCGAACATTTAAGAGATACCATTAAAATTCTAGAATTTCTGCTTGTTTTCTTATTTGTATCAAATAAACTTTGAATTTAAAATATTTATCTAACTTGAGATACAATTAAATACATCATACTTATGCATTTTGGTGAGTTGGACCACATCAAATAAACTTTGAATTTAAAATATTTATCTAACTTGAGATACAATTAAATACATCATACTTATGCATTTTGGTGAGTTGGACCACATTCCTCCTAAACACTTTGTAAAGGCTGGCCCATTGGTTCCGTAGCCTTCTGAGCAAGTGTACGCAACTTCATCTCCAAATTGGTAAGTTTCTAACTGGTGAGGTACAACACCGTTAGGAATCGAAGGTGGGTCACAAGGAAGTCCTGAAAATAAAATAATGAAAGAATGACTTTGTATTTCATTAAAAAATTTAATTTTATGTACCAGTTTTCATACTTAATGCTGCTATTATATAAAAGAAAATGAAATAAAAAATACTAAAATAAATAAATCATAAATGTTATTTGAAAAAAATAAAATAAAATAATGATATTTGAAAAGAAATAACCCAACAGTTACTCTGACACAACCGAGAAGGTGCATGAATGCTTCCTAAAGCCACCCTTCTGGTGTGTGCCCTCCTCACCAACTGTCCCGATCTGACCAAGAACTTGAAACAAACTGTCGACACATTTAAGAAAGATAACCAATGCTTCTCTAACCAATCATGAGTGATGAAAAGAAGCACACTGTGGATGAATAATCTGAATAAAAGTACTGTATGAAGTCAGAGCAATCTTTTAGGAGTAATATAAAAAATATTTTTAGGGAACCAGCAGTTAGCGTAATGGCCATGTCACTGGACTCCCACGTAGTCAACCGCGGTTCGCATCCCAGACCCAGGGGCTTAAAACTCACGCCGGGCGCGTGTGCCTGCGTGCCCAAGATCCCGAGAGGAGAATGGAGGAGAAGGGATTGCGGCGTGACTATCCTCCTTGGGGGGTGATTTCTCGCTTTCTGTCTCTCTGTCTTTCTCTGTCTGTCTGGCGAGTGCACGCGCCCTATACCCCCCCCCCCCCAAAAAAAAAAATATATATATTTAAACTTAGTGGAAAAGCAGTATTACAACCTACAAGTGTAAGCACATTTATTTTCACTATATACTTAAAAAAAAGAAAAAGAAATGGCAGAGGCCAGCCCTCAGCATGGTGATGGGGCTGGGGGTGGGCCATTGGATTCTTCATGGGTCGACTGCATTTCTAGTCCTGAACCTGGTGACTTGAGGAACATGCCAGGCACGTGTGCCTTTGTGCCCATAATCTCTAATGGAGGGAGAGATGATGAGAAGCCTAGGAGAGAGCAGGTTTCTACTGGGCCATGCTGTCCTGCATGGGAGGCCTTTTCCAGCACTGGGGATCCCGGGAAAGGGTCCACTCCCAATGGAGGAAGAGATTGAAGTGTCACCATTCTCCATTGGAGGTGCTTTCTCCTGTCCCTCTCTCTCTCTCTTTCTTCAGCATGCACATGCACCATTTAGCGAAAAAAAAAAAAAGGAATAAAAATAAATCCTAGAACCAGCAGTTGAAATTGAAGTTAAGTGGCTGGATCCCACATGGCTGATTCCAGTTTGAGTCCTGGACCCAGTGGCTTGAAAAATCACAGTGGTTATTTGTGTGTCTGTGTGTATGTGCCCAGCGAGGACTGTGGAGGTGTGAATGGATGCAGCATGGCCATCCTCCCTGAGGGGTGATTTCTCACTTTTCCCCTATCTCTTTGTCTCTCCCATTAGCACAAATACCCTACAGAAGAAAAAGAAAAGAAAAATAATAATTTTATAATGAGCCAAAAAAACTAAGAAATATAGGATTGATTAAATTATATGAGACTTATTTTAATAGTAAAATGTATAACTGATTGTGTGTATATATATACATACATATATATAATAATCTAAATTATTTTGTTCCTTGACTTTCTCAAAAATAGATCATTTTAACTTAGCTATACCAAAGCAGAGTTGGAGTTTTCCGTGTCTTCACCTACACACTGAGGAGAACTCCATTTTCCCATATAGCATGTGATCTCATCTTCTTCAGGCATCTGAAAACCTTCATCACAACTATAATTTAATTTAGTGCGATGTGGGTAAGAACTGGGCTCATTCGTTTTTTAAATTTTTTCTGATGATCTAGGTAATGTAAGGGTTCCATTTTTATCTCAGGAAGTTGAGAGCATGACATTTTTTCTATACAATGAACAAAACTCAAAGTCACACACAAATAAAATATTTACACACAAAAAGTCACACACAAAATATTTACATTGAAAAATAAAATCAAATACTATTTGAGATTTTAAGACCAATATAATTTGAACAAAGAACCTCGTTTAAAAATAAAATAGAGACTTGGAAAAGTATAGGTCTCTTCATCATCTAAGTTACCACCCTCTAGTGCCATGTTCCCTCACTTATGTTCCCTCAATCATGAAAAGTAAAATACACAGACATTTTACATGGTATTTACATTGCAGTCCCAAATTGTTATCTGTATTTTGTTCACAGAAGCAAAATAATGGTGAGTGATTGATTTATATGGCTAGATTGCAGCTTATGATTTCAAGACAAAGATAATAGACATGAACAAGATCTTCATGTTTTCATTTACACAGAGCATGGTGATGTATCAATCCCATTAGAAAGAACGTTTGCTATACGACGATTGTGCACACTGACCAACACAGCGTGGTAACGACTGCCACTTCCCATCTTTGCACACCATTTCTTCTGCTTCCTGAATTAGGTAACCTTCTTGGCAAAGAACAGACACCTTCTCTCCATCCTGATAATTCACTGTAGTCTTCATATCTTGAGCATTAGGAATCTGAGGTGGAGGTGGGCATAACTGTACTGGTACTCCTAAAAAAAAATGAGGTTAGATTTCATGATTAAAAATTATAATTTAAAAATATTAAC